TCTTATACACATCTAGATGTGTATAAGAGACAGGTATAAGACCATGCACTGTATCACCACAACACTCCAGGAGGAAAGCACGCATCTGAGTGAGTCAAGTAAACAGACAATCCCTAAGGTCGCAGTGTAGGTCCACTTGACATACAAAAGGCAGGAAAAAAAATACAAAAGTGATGATGAAAACCCTCGACAATCTGCAGAATCTCGTATACATTCACTATCACGGTGCGTTATGTTCGGGGGAAGGCAGTAGTATGGGAGTGTATGTAACCTGATACCACTTCGAGCCCGTAGCCACTTGGGACTGGTAGCACCACCACCTGCTATTGGTACCAGCACTAGCTGCTGCCGGTACCCGCACCACTCGTTAGCGGTCCCAGTAGCTACTTTCTACCGGTACCACTACCCGCTTGCCGGTACCCGCAGCACGTGTTAGTGGTACTGGTATCAGTCAGTCATGTGCTATCGGTACCAGGCAAGTGGGTAGAGGTACCAATAGCGAGTGGGTAGTCGTAGCCGGCACCCTCACCACGTGTTATCGGTAGCAGTAGCCACTCGGCCTGGTAGTGATAGCCGGGTACCATGGTACCAGATAGTGGTACAACTACCCACGCCACTGGTACCCGGTACCGACACCACTTGGTATCGAAACTAACAGCCACTTGCCACTCCTTTTTTGTTTCTTTTTTGGCACTTGCTACTGCCACCAGTATGGGTGAGAAATTTACGCAGGCAATTGCAAACACGATCACAGAAACAAGTCCATAGAAAATGACAATACCCGCATGGCGGGATTCAAATTAGGAATATATTAGTGACATATTCCACCGCCCTTCCGCCCACGTTCCGATAATCCCTATGTCTGCCATCTCTCCAAACAAAACCCGAGGCTGCTATACCGACAAACGGCAAAGCGTCGGTTGCGGGCAGCTGCTACAGCACGCAATGCCGTAGTAGGACGACTACGTAGCCTAGTCTAACACATCTCAACAAGCTGCTTCAACTTAGTAGTCGTCCCGTGTCCACGAAAAATTGCGGAGGGCCCCCGCAAAAAAGAATTGTCAGGCCACCCCTTTGCACGGTATTCCCTTCGAAGTGTCGAGACCTGCTTGGGGATACTCTCCTGAAAAGTGGTATTCCGGTCTATATTCTGTGGAACCAACCGGTGATCCGAGCGCCAAATTCTGTTTACGAGGACCAAAAATCTGCAATCTGCCAAACTCTGCACCAGGACCAAAAATCTTTGCTCCGTTCGGAAAACGACTTTCCCAGTTGTTCCACATTATCGACTCGTTCTTTGTCTGCTGCACGCTGCCCAGGAAGGGATAGCATCATAGCAGGCCCGAACCTTTTTTTTTTTTTTTTTTTTCCCCCTGCAACCCAGAAAATTCCGAGTACCCATCTTGTCATCTGTCCCCTAGAAAATCCCAAGTACCGATCTTGTCGTCTGTCCTTTTCAGGCTCAGTGTCTTGGGGTAGCAGTTTTAGAAACTCCCTTTTTTTTTTTTTTTTTTTTTTTTTTTTTTTTTTTTTTTTTTTAACAAACAACTGCCTGTATGGGAGATAGGGGCGCTGGTACGAGCAGACGCACCTATCTCCCCCGGGGCAGGGTCCCACTTGCACGGATTAAGAGATTATGACCGTTGATCGTTGCTATCTACGGTTAAAATCGCTTGATTCGTGTAAGTGGGACCTAGTCCCCGGGGAGGCTACAAAAGCAGAACTTAGAAGAAGTAATAATGATGGTGATAATAACCAAAAACTGATATTGTTTAATCGTGGAAAGGCCATATCAGGCGCTCCAATTAAAATAGGAACAAACCAGTTTCCCAACCCACCTATAAGAGCAGGCATTACCTTTTTTCTTTTTTTTTTTCTTTTTTTTTTTTCTTTTTTTTAAGAGCAGGCATTACCATAAAGAGTAGGATAAGATAAGAATGAAAGATAAGATAAGAAGTAAGCACTGCATGAATAATGTGAGGTTCTTTTTTCTTCTCTTTCTTTTCTTTCTTTTCTTTTCTTTTCTTTTTTTGCTTTTTTTTTCTTTCTGTTGGCGTTCTTAATCCAGTTCGGCTCCCCTATCCGATAGGCCAAAAAAGGGAGATATCGTCCATAGATCTGACTCCGATAACTAACCTCTCTCCTATCATCGCCCAAAGTCATCAGAAGTGGGTGGTGGTACACCTACCAGGAGCCTGGTACTGATGGCCTGGTACCAGTGGTGGCCACTAGGTACCAAATCAGTGAGTGGGTGGTGGGCTCGGTAGCAACATGTGGGAACAACCAGGATATATATATATATATATATGTGACGATATATATATATATATATAATGGCCACCAGTGATACAATTTGGATATATATATATATATATATATAGATGAGTCGGTGAAACTCCGACGAAACAGTTTGTCACAGCCCCTCGTTTGTTGTCCTCTTCTCCCTCTCTGCCTACGGTTTACCGTAGGCAGTTCTATTTGACGATATATGCTACGACTTCGCTAGCTTCCTGCTACGTTTTTTTCCGGTCAGGTCGAGCGGCAGTGGTCGGGGCCGTCACTACGCGGCCATGCTGTGCCTCTAGTGCCAGCGGCGTGTCTGGAGTGTATTTTTTGGCTGTGACAGACCTTTCTTTGTCTCGTGGATGTTTTGCTGGCTTGTGATGGGGTGTGAACCGACAGTCTGTAGAGTTTTCCATCTGGTGTGGGTGAGTGATAGTCTACTTTGATTTTGGTTAAGGTAGATTATCATTTACAGTGTAATCAGTGAGGGGATTCTGCAGACTGTTGAGGGTTCAGCCTCCTGATGAGTYGGTGAAACTCCGACGAAACAGTTTGTCACAGGCCCTCGTTTGTTGCCCTCTTCTCTCTCTCTGCCTATGGTTTACCGGGCAGTTCTGTTTGTGACGGTATATATATATCTACGTATATAAAGTTATTTTCCCACCAATGTAATCTCCATTACGCACATGATTTATTCATTCATTTATTTATTTATTTATTTATTTAAGACAAATTATTCTGGAAACACAACTGGTTTATCTCGAATCCAAAGAGAAAAAAAAAAAAAAAAAAAAAAGGTTTATCGGCAATCTGATCGGCTATTAATGTGTGGCTGGATCTTTTTTTTCTTCTCATAAAAAGAGTCCGCAACGACCTTGAGACATCTTATTGCCGACCAACAGCAGGTCATCCCGAATTATGTATTATTTTATTTATTTCATTTTGTTCTGCTCCATCTGATTGCATGAACTCAGGTCTGTATTTCACCAGTCCATCATGATGGGTATACCCACTGAGCTGGTAGCCATGGCTCCACAATATTCCGTACACTGCATCTGGGCCTCAGCCCTCCTCTGCCCGTGCACACACGGACTCGAACCGGCGAAGTCTCTTAACCACTACTACTACAGGCAGGACACGGTGTTTGAAAAAAAAAAGTGGAACCATACCGCTCGCGATATCTTTTTTCTTTTTCTTTTAAACCACTAGTACCTCCGCCAGTGTTGGGAAAATAGGGAAAATGTATAAAAAAAAAATAAAAATAAAAATAAAAATAAAGGGAAAGAAAGGGAAAAGTGGCAGTTTTCCCAAACTACTAAAGATTCGGAAGTCGGTCCCGACGACGACTGCCATTGATAAATCCGACCGGCGGTCGTCACTTCGTTTCGGCCTCCAAAAAAGTCAAGAGGACCAACCGAGGCCCGCTATTTTCCCACGCGGCAAAGGTGCTAATGGTTTAAAACTACTAAGGTATATTCTTCTCTCAGTCTATCTATATACTCGTCTTTCTTGTCCTCTCGCTACCGTCTTCCCCCGAACATAACGCACCCTGAAAATGAACGTATACAAGGGATGTTTGCGGCCAGATACAGTCAAATTGAGGGTGCGTCGTGTTCGGGGGAAGAAGGTAGTCTATGTATGCCTCTACTATAGAGTAACTATACATACCGGTCGTGATATCCACCGCACCCGTGCAAGGCTGTAGTGTCCAGCTCACCACAAACCACACACGACTCCATGGACACGACAACAT